GGCGGACGCGCGAGTGCCCGTACGGGCACCTGGGGCCCGCGGCTGCTGCAGCTGCCTTGGACATGAGGGGGGGCCGCTCCCTCCCTCCCCTCGCTGCAGGGACGTCCTGCCACGGCTTAGGGCTTCGACACGTCCAAGAGCAAAATGACACCAAATGGCTGCATTAGCGCCCCTTGGCCCCACTGTCTTCCCCAAAACATAAGCACTAGTGCAAGTGCCCACCCATCCCTCCCCCTCCCCTTCTTTCATTGAGGGAAGACAAAAGGGAGCCCCTGGGATGGTTTTCATTTGTGCAACATCCACCAAGCTAAGGATGTCATCAAGAAGCACCAGCGATGTCAACACCGTGTGTGTTTGCCTCAGGTACCGATTTTGGCCCCGGCAAAGTAGTGCACAGCTGTCCTTGGTTCGAGGAAGAAAAACTCTGTGGTTTACTCAGTCTGACACTTCCCTGTGCGGTCAGATGACTGGGAGGACTACATTTTGTAATTTTAGGAATGCGTTAGGAAATTCTGAACATTAATTCTTGTTCTCATTAACCTTAAAGCACTTAAATGATAAATGCACTTTCATTTAAATAATGTTCGGCAAGTAAGTCACATTTTAACACAATTGGTGAGGAGAGGTAGAGGATTAAAATAAGAAACGTTTATACACCGCTTTAGAAATGTTTTACAGTATGTTTTATCGATAGTTGGGGTGGGGGGGATTAAAAAAATACTGCCAAGGTAGTATTTGCTGTACATAAAAGTGTTAATAACCAGATGGCATGCTACTGAAAGTGTCTTGTGCTTTGGCCTCTTAATGGTCTAGAAACAAGATCTAATGGCCAGATCCCATTAGTACTTAGTGTGGAATTTAGGTATCTAGGTCTAAAACTGAGACCCTGAATACCTTCTGCTGGTATTCATGCGTCTCCTAGTAGCAAAGGCACCTAACCTTTACAGAAGATTTACTTTTGGCCTTAAAGTTCCCTAGTCACCCATAGGTTCTGCTCATCTGCATTCCCAGACATATCTCAGTCGTGATAGGGCTGAGCAGTGGGGCCCTCATCACAACCTCATTTGGATCCAGAAGCCAGGCTTCCTTGGTGCATGTCCCCTAAGGAGCTCTATCTAGTAGGCATTCTATGGCTATATTTTGCAGACACCAACAGGATCGATCTCTACCCAAAACCTGGTGGAAGCCACCACTTTCTTTTAATATAGCCAGAACAAGTGCTGGCTCCAGGAGGCTAGCTGTAACAGCACTTGCCCAGGACGTGGGAGACCTCAGGGGATTCAAACGGGCCTCTTGAGAGAGTTCTCTAAGCTTCCTCTCCACCTCTCCTCCTGATGCTGTGCCAATGCCCAGAAAAGAATTCAGGAGTGGGCAAGAGTAAGCATGACTTTGTAGGCTGCTTGCTTAGAGGGAGGAGGAGATCTGGGTTCCACTCCCTGATCCAAAGACTTTATGCATTTTACGTTTGACAGTCATTGAATGAAACATGTAAACATGCCTTGGTGTAGGAATTAGATACAGTTTTTCAAAAGGGGTAAGTCAAGATGGAAAAATGCTTAGAATTGAAATGGGAAAACAACAGAGTATTTCAAAGAAGTCTTCAACCAACTGAACCCAACCTCAACCCTAGATTTCATTGAAATGTGAACCAGAACAACCTGGCATTAACAGTGGTCCAAACAGAGATGTCACATGTACGGAAGCTGAAGAGAGGGAAGAAAACAAGAGACAATCAAATCATGGCAGAAAAGAAAAAAGCACTTCATGCCACCATCCTAACAAAACAGGCAGGGCTGTTCAGTGAAGTTTGGAGGGAAAAATCCGTCTTGACCCATGGAAATATGGACGAAGATGTAGAGGCTCTCACCAACCAGATGATAGTACTTCTCCATGGATGCTACTGTGATTAGGCTGCACTCTCCACTGTTCCTTGGCATCGTCATAGACTGCATGATAATAAGAAAGCAGTCAAGTAACACAAATACCAGCATATCCTGGGCATGTGACAGACCCTTGGAAAGTTACAAATGACCTGGCAAAACGCAAAAGTCAGGAGTGCTCAAAATCCAATACCCTTGAAAACAAGACATCAGGCAGCAACTTCAAACTACTGGGCAAAACATTTAAGACAACTGAACAATTTACCAACTTGAGGAGGTCCATACTAGTCAATGGAGATCTCAAGAAGGAAATGACATCATACCATTTACTAAGCTGACCAGCATATGAAAATCAAAAAAAGAAGTACAGCACCCCAGTAAAGCAGAATTTTGAACTAAAACATACCGTCAGTACTAACATACAACTATGAAAGCTGGAGATCTACAAAAAAGGAAACAGGAATCTAGATGCCTTCAAAAAGAAGTGCCTAGATGCTAAGTCCTGGAAGGAAATCTGGTTGTCTCCATTGAAATCAGAAGAAACCATGTGCTGTGGGCATCTGCATGCATGTACGCTAATTGGGGCATGAACTCTGGCTGCCAACATACAGACACTCATATGTAGGGGTCTGCCCAACTCAGGGAGGTTGCCGGCCAATTTCACGGGAAGATTACAGGGTCAGCCACTGTTTTCAGGGGCTGATCACAGCAAGACCCTCCCCCCCACCTTCCTCTTATTGGCCAAAAGGCCCTATTGGCCCCATTCTTCACCACTGATTGGCGATGGATAGCCCTCACAATATGGCCCCACTCTCACTGCCAATTGGTAAAGAGGGGCAGGGCTGCACGACAGGCAGCTCTCTCAACCAATCAGCAGCAAGCGGCAGGGACAGCAGCCACCTTGGGCTCCCCTTTGTGCCAGTAGCCCCCCCTCCCTGCTGCCTCCCTGTGGGCTGCACAGCTGGGCTGTAGCACCATGAGGGCTGCTGGCTTCCTCTAGAGAGCCAGCATTTTATTTTCAGCAATTCCCCCTGCACTCCAAATTTCACCGGCATTGCCTGATTTTGCAATTTCTGCAAATTCCACAATTTCAGTAGGTCCCTACTCATATGAGGTCCTTGGATGGTAATAAACTGGCATGAAAAAGAGAGGGCACTCCTGGGAAATATTAAGAACTGCTAGTAGGCAGAGCAGTCTGTCTTCACACTATCGAGCAGATAAATGTAAATGTGAGCAAATGATATAGGAAGTAAAAAGAGTTTGTGTAGGAAGGTGTTACTGATGGCTAATGGACATGAGCCTCTGACATGCTACAGGGTTAACATGTTGAGAAAGAAATATCTAAGCCCCATGATGTAAGTAAATACTAGCTTATATCAATAATAAAAATCATTATTAGGCACAGTCAGGCCAGATACAAGCCTATATTATTTTTATTTATTTTTTACATAATACAGTTTTTCCTCAGTTCTTCATCTAAGCTAATTTGATTGTAGACTGTTGTTGGAAAATTCACCATCAGGGTGGATTCCTGAGGGAGTTCAGTGGCACGGCTTGCACCCTCTTTTTGGTCCTTCCCCTTGGTGCTCAGAGGCACAACCCCTCCCTCCCATTCTGCTTCTCTCATGCTTGCTGCTTCTTTCCTACTCTACCAGGGCAAGGGAAGCTCCAGAATTGCTTTCCACCCCAGCCAGGTTGCATGGGACCTGGGCTCAATTGGAGACAGGGACAGTGGCAACAGTATGGTGGTAGAGTACTTTCCCCCTGCTCGCCTGTTTCCTGGGAACAGGCATGGGGATGGAGACCCCTGCCCATCCCTGATGATGCTGTTTGGGCCCATTCCCATGCAACTGGAGTGGGTACAAGTAGCACTTCTTGCACCTGGTACAGAGGGTAAAGCAGCAATGGCAGATGAGGTGGCATGGGGAAAAGGGGAGGGGAGGAAAGGGTACATGCCTCGGAGCATGAAGGAGAAGGGAGGGAGCATTTTCACTTGCTTTAGGGACTTTAAAAAGTTCCCAAAGGTTCCCAGAGCACCTGCCTTGGAAGGGAGGGGGAAACAGGTGGAGGGAAAGAAGCTAGGCTAAGAGCAAGGGGAAGCAGCCATCCTTGCAGTATGGGCTGCTGCATCTCCACCCATTCTGGGAAATCTTAGATCTGCCCCTGTTCATCATTTACCAAAAAAAGTGAACTTCTAGTGAGAGACAAAGAGAAACAAAACTTGAACTTACCTGTTACACTTGGTAAAGGAAATAAGCCAAATATTGACCTCCTGAGATGCTTGGCTAAGGCATATGAAGAGTTAAGGAAAAATTCTAATGAGTGGTGGGAGGGGAAAACCTTGAATCTCCATTTCAAAGTTCCTGACTTCTACACAGACCACTCCAGGGCCAGGAGCAATATGTTATGCAGGGATATAGTGACAACTACAAAGTACTGAGACCCCAAAAAACTTCCCTGATGGCATTGCTGATTGCTTCAAAGGTAAGGTCTCTCTGCCAAATTCATTACAGGCAGTCCTCGACTTACAACATTTTGAGTTACAACATTTCGCACTTACAACGTTTATAAATTGACACCGTTTCAACTTTATGACATCAATTTCAGCTTTACAACACTTGATCTGATGCGGCGCCACACCAGCAAACAAGTTTGCTGCATCGCCCATCTCCCTGGAGAACATCTGTCCAAACTTCCTTGGACACTTTCTTTAAGAAAGCAGAGAAGACTCCAGAAAAACCTGCAGCCAAGA